AGGTTCCCTGTGGTGTCACACAGAAGGAGCTGGTTTGTGATGTTCTAGCTCCCTGCTGTGGGCACTTTAATAACATGCACTAGGATAGGCATCAGGGACTCTGCCCCATGTGTGAATGAGTCCTCAAGGTGTCGGTTCCCTTCTTACTTCTGAAACCTTGGTTCAAACCTCAGGATCGGGGGCAGCCTGCCATCACACTGGGAGCTCTGAGGTTTCTCTACCTACATCTGCTTTGTTCCTTCATTTCTCCTTTCCTTTGACACCACTCATGTAGATCATGCTCTCAGGTGATCCCAATCCACTGCAAGAAGCACCTCACCTGTGACTTCACTAAGTGGGCAGTACCCTTGTTTTTCTGACCCCTAAACATAGCTGCTCTGTAACTCATTCAGCACCCTGCTCTCTGCAAGGTAATAGTGAGCTAATTCAGTAGAGAAATTTGCGTGGATACTTGCTACTGCCTTCTTGCCTCCAGTCAACATGGACTTGAAGCTTACCATTTTGAATCAGTTTCAGTAAATTCTGTCTGATAATGACATTGTGGGGTCATTGGTGGTGCAGTGGTAGAATTCTTGCCTTCCATGTGGGAGATTTGGGTTTGATTCCTGGTAATGCATCTCAAGTACAGCCTCAACCTGTCTGTCCGTGGAGGCTTGCATGCTGCTATGATGCTGGACAGGTTTCAGCAGAGCTTCCAGACTAACACGGACTAGGAAGGCAGGGCTGGTGATCTACTTCTGAAAATCAGCCAAAGAAAACCACAAGATCACAGTCTGATGCCCGGCTGATCGTGTGGATGGTGCAGGACCCGACAGCATCTCATCCCATTGTGAATGCACTTGCCATGAGTCTGAGGTCCAACTTGATAGCACCTAACAACAACAATAATGCCACTAAAGCACACATTGAGAAGAAACCAACATTCCATTCTGATGTCACCCTCAGAAGGTGTGGCTTGACCACAAACACCAGTAGTTTCCCTCCTTACTAAATGTGGATCAGCAGTCTATACATACAACACGTATATCTCCCTCCTCCCTCTGATGACAAAGCCTTAACTCAGAGGAATTCATAGAAGGCTGTTGGGGCTTTTAACCACTTGGATCACATCTTGTGAGTATCACCTCACTGTACTCAGGGATGCTTCGGAGTGACGTGAGGTCTTTGTCAGCTCAGCCCAGAGAGGTCATGGACATAGCCTCAGCCGTCTGCAGTCTAAGCATTGCAAGGACAGTGCCTGCTCTGTTCCTTGTTCATACCATCAATCATTTTCAAACCCTTTCACTTACACTGTCATAGGTGAGTGTCACAGTGTCTTCCCCTTCCTTCATGGCAGCTTTGACCTACTCTCACAGAACATGGAAATGAATGTGTCCCCAAAAGGGAAATTAGTTTAAACATAAATCTCTCCCCCTTTTGAAAATTACCAGAATTTATCCAGAAAATCACTTTAAATCTGAGATCGTAGAGCCTTTACGTGGACTGTAAAAATATCAGATACAGAGATTTATTTATCAAGTATTAATATAAAATACCCAATGCAAAATACAGTTTAACGTTATTTCCTACCAAATAAGTCAATTATGCTTTCCAGCATATATCCGATGGAGATTCATCCTTGGAGGAAAAGGTGAATGTTGACTATCCTGAGGAGTGGGGGGGATGTATTATAATTGAACAAACTAGGAAACCAATTGCATACATTAAATTCTCAGTTTCCCTCTGAAGGAACCTAAAACAAAGCCAAACAAGTTGCTGTCAAGTTGATTTTAATTTATGGTGCCCTAGGAGTTCTGGTGGCATAGTGCCTAAGGCATTTGACTGCTAACCAGAAGGCTGGCGGTTCAAACCCACCAGGCGCTCCTCGCAAGGAAGATTGGGCAATCTACTTCCATCATGCTACCACCTCAGAAACTCAAGGAGGGGTCGCTATGAGTCAGGTCTGACTTGAGAGCAGTGAGGTTTTTTTTTTTTTGTTGTTGTTATGTGTTACAGAATAGAATCGTTCTCCATAGGGTTTTCATAACTGTGACCTTTCAGAAGCAGATGGGCAGGCCCGTCTTCTGAGGTACATCTGGGTGGGTTTGAACTGCCAAACTTTCAGCTGCTAGTCAAGTGCTTAATAATTTGTTTCATCAAGAAA